CCGGCTCCCTCAGCCAGTAAAGCGAGATGAGCGCCGCAACACCCGAGTTGGCCACGACTGGACCTAATGGTCAGGGGTCCCTTTACCTTTACCTTACACACCCTCCCGGTCATTTTAAAGGTATATTGGTTTGCATGCCGGCATTATAACGTACTGCTTAGTGCTAAGTTGTGAAATAAAATAGCCTTTCTGTTACTCTTGAGAGAGGATCTGAAATCAGGAGATAAAGCACTCTGCCTGATCTTTGGAGACTGATCTCTAAAGATCAGGTAGAGCACTTGGGAGATTGGGAGATAAATCTGGGGGAAGCCTGGCAGGGGTGGCCAGGAGGGTGCTTTATGGGGTTTTGCATGCAGGATCCGGCCCACGTGTCATGGGTTAGCCACCGCTGCATTATATATTGGGCTGGTTCAGCAGATAAGTGAAAAATGAAACCCAGCAAGACTGGGGGCCAACAGAGACTCCAAAGGCAAATAATTCAAAAATATGGGAGTGTTCACCAACGAGGCCCTTTCTGCTGTACCCATTCATCAAGCCATGAGCATAGCCAAGGAGGGGCAGGGGAGCAGCTGCCCTCCCCCATCAAGTAAATCAGTTTGTTTATTAATATCATCTTTGGAAATAGTTTGTCTGGTTTTTAGACATGGTGTGCACCTAAAAATCTGGATGAAGTCCATTCAGCTGCAAATGCCAGACACCTCTTGCTTTTCCACTCATGTTTAAATAATGGCAAAAGTGGCTTTCCTTGTGCAGACACAGGTTAGAAGGGTGGATTAATAAATAAACTGTGTTCAGGGAAGAATGACAGTGCTCAAGGTACTCAGTAACAGGAAAACTGTTCTTCTGTTAACTAATCCACTGTTTTGTTACCAGTCTGAAAAACCAAATGTGTGGCTGTTTTCTTCTTTTACGTTCAAAATGCTACCAAGCCGCAGATTGTTGGAGTCAAGGAAGATGGGCTCAACCCTTAAGGCTGCAGTCTTGTTTGCACTTCCCTGGGAATAAGCCTTTGTTGAACTCAGTGGGACTTGCTTCCAAGCAGATACGAAATGCAGTGCATGAGCTTTGTGGAATTTGTTGTTCTGTTCTGCTACATTTAAGGGTTTTTTTAAACCCAGGCTTTCACCTGCAGAGGCTCTCAGGGCAGCTTACAGATAGATAAGTACAAGACAGTCACCACCCTCAGGAGTACAATCTAAAATATATGACACAAAAGGAAAAATGGAGGAGGGGAGGAAGGCCTGGGGGCCGTAGCCAGCTCTTCAGGCATCTCTGACCTTGGGACTCCCCACAGGCCTCACCACCAGCGGCACCCTCTTTCCCAGCCCACACCTCTCGCCAGCCTTGCTTCACATCCTCCTGGAGTGTTTTTGCCTGGCTGGAATAGGTCATTGAGCACTGATAAGGACCCTTGTTTGCATAGATGGGAGAGGCATGTGTGGGCTTTGTTGTGAAAAAGGTCCTCCTCGTCTACATATCAGTGAAATATGCCCACCCAATGATTTATGTTGAAGATGTGGGATGCAAATTATGTAAGTAAGATTGTTTCCAGGTGGTCTGCTTATTGCTCATTGATCCTGGCTTGTTTGCACAAAGTGTGCAGGGAGGTTAGATCATGCCAGCTATTTATTGAGCATCCGTTCAGATTTGTTTGGTTATACAATGCTGCACCAGGCAAGGGCTTTCCCACAATTTTCAGTTCATTTACCTGTCATTTTCAGTATTGCAAAATGTCTGGTTGTTGTTTTTCGGAGGAGGGAAGGAGCTTGTTGCACAAGAGCTCCCATTCAACCATGATCGTGCAACCTTAATTTTCTGGTATGTGATTGAATCCCACCCCAAAGCAGCAACAATTGCCTGGAAACGCCCTAGGTAAACTAATTTTTGCAAACTGCCCTGAGAATGTTGTTGAAGGGCTTGGTCATGGTGATACTCAAACCTTTCCTAACTTCAGATGTATAATTCTTAAGACGTTATTTGAGAAGAGAGCTGAAAGAGAACTTTCTGCTAGCAGAACAGTTTTACCGGGCTAGAAAATCCTCCATATGGTGAGCTGTCAGGAATGCAGGGGAGAAAAATTCCTGGCAAATATTGCTTTCCGTATGACCTGTTTATTGGGCATTTATCCTGATTCATTCGCGGAGAGGTTAGAAAATATTGCAGCAAGCAAACATTACCTCCACAGTGCCCATTGCAAAAAGTCTGGGTGGAGGGAGCAGGTTTGTTGTGCACGAGATCCAAATCAACTTAAATTGTGCAAACTGAATTTGCCGCTGTGTGACTGAATCCTGTGTGAAAGGACAGTGACAGTCTGGGAGTGCCCTCAGACACACTTTCCAGTGCCAATTCACAGGAGCAGGGCAACTGTAGAAAATGTGCCCACGTGAATAGCCACTGTGGAGGGCAACTCAAAACTCATGGTCCTTTTTCCAGCATTTTCCAGCATTCGTGGGGTTCACACTGCATGGAGGATTTTCTTGCTGCTGAACCAGCCTACGCTACAGTAATAGTCCAAAACTTGGCAGTATCAGAAGCTGCCGTTTATTTTGCAGGAAAAACTGGAGAGGATTGAAAAGTTCTTTTATATCAGAGAAGTTTCCCTTGTGTCAAAATGTGAAGTAATTCAAACAGGCCACCTCCGTCTGAGTCTCAGAAAACAGAGTTTGGGACGCTTCCTTCCGAACTGGGAAGCTTGCCTCAAAATTGGGGGATGTTATTTCCAGAGGAGAACTGGCTGAAAGTATTTGGAAGAGGCCAGGAAAGCCTCTCTTCTACGTTGCATTTTAATTCCTTTTGTTTTCTGAAGACTAATAAGAATGACTAGAAGGGCCTGTTCTTGTTTCTGCCAATACTCTAGGAAGCAACATTGCCACCTCTAGCAATCTCAGAAGAGAGAGGTTAGTCAAATCCTGGTTTTTTATCCTCTTGTTTACATTCCAGCGGGAGAGAGTCAGCAAACATTAACCTCAGCTTGGCACAGGGTCAATGCCGCTGACAGAAAAGATGGGGCAGACTTTGCTCACTCTTCATGGCTAAAAAGGCAGGGAAATTGCTAATCTGTGGGGACTGCGCTATTTGGAGAGGAATGTGCCGCACAAAAGGAATTGCCATCGGAAGCCCCTGAGTTGCCTAAGCAACCATAGCACTGGGGAAGAAACAGGAGAGTTTGTTTTACAGGCCAACAATAAATTAGATCGAGAGATCCTTGTACCGCAGAAAGGGGACATGGGGGCCCTAAAAACACATCCATGTGTGCTGAATGGACAGGGGGTGGGAATGCATTGATGGCAATTTATATAGGGGCAAGTTTACAATATGCACAGCAACTTCCACCGACCTTGGGTCAAATTCTGAGGTGGTTATGGAGATTTTAATCAGGATAGCTTCGCCAAATTGACAGTTGAACTGTTGTGTTTTCCTAGGGCTGGCATATCTTCACAGAATTGTAGAGCTGGAATGGACTCCAAGGGTCATCTAGTCCAACCCCCTGCAATGCCGGAGTCTCAGCTAGGGTATCCATGACAGGTGGCCACCCACCCTCTGCTTAAAAACCTCACAGTCAGCGAGATCTTGTGCGATTTCCGAGAGATCTTGCAGGGAACAGATGCTGCTGGTGGTCCCGCTTGTCTGTTGGTGGGTGGGTTTATGAGGCAAGCATTGCTTCTTGGGCTTCTGTTGCCTGAGGCAGGCACCTCACCTTGTCTCATCAGTGGACCGGGCCTGATATATAGCCATAGTATCCTGGAGGAGTGCACCAGCGCCCTGGACTGCTCCTGGTAGGAAGTGGGGAAGATATACTGGAACATTTTGTTCTATGTCCTACTTGTTATTATTTTCAAAAGAATAGCTTTTTAAATTGCCATGAATCTTCCATTTGGGATGACACAGTTGCTAGCCAATCAACCCTGTGCAGAAAAGGCACTGCAGCAGTCCAGGAGAACTTGTTCTAACTGCAAAGGATGAAGTAAATGCAGCAAGACTTCCAGAGCACAGCAACTCCTCTTTTTTTGAAGTATATCTTAACATACTTCAAATCACTCAGAAAAGGAAAGCTCTCATATAAAACCAATTTTAGCTAGCAACAACGCTAACATGCATGGGGTTATGAACAGACATGGCCATAATCTAACACACCATTAGACATGGCTGGAACCCGAAGCAGTTACTAAAGAGAAAGTGAGGTTTACTTCTAGAGTGGCCATGTGCCCTGCTTTATAGAGAACAGCCTTCTATTTGAAGGAGTCCTCTGTTTGAAGGGCTGCTCTACCCAGGTCCATTTTCAAGATTAAGAATTATGAGAATGGAGGCATAGCGTGATGGTTGAAGTTGCCCGTCATAGCAGTGGACTGGGCAGGCACACAGTTCATATGGTCATAGCCTTTCCTGCTATAGCAAAACACATTTTTGTTTAAATTATACCAATTATTTCTAAAGTTGCAGCTGTACATACAAATCATGTGCAAATTTTATGCAAATCTCTCCCTAGACCTCTTTTTTTTTGGGGGGGGTGATGCATTTCCTATTTGCTTGCTCCCGGAACTGCCCAGATGACAAGGAAATCAAAGCAATACGTTTGGCACCAGCTTGGCTGCCTGAATTCCCAGAAGGAGGCTTACTAGCCGCCATCTAACTGCCTTAGGGACTCCTCTCTGGGTTTGTGTAGGACATGGGTAGGCAAACTAAGGCCCAATCGCCTTCCAAATACAGCCTGCGGATGGTCCAGGAATCAGCGTGTTTTTACATGAGTAGAATGTGTGCTTTTATTTAAAATGCATCTTTGTGGGGCATAGGAATTTGTTCATTTTTTTTCTTCAGAATATAGTCCGGCCCCCCACAAGGCCTGAGGGACAGTGGACTGAAAAAGTTTGCTGACCCCTGGTGTAGGGCTTACTCCTTACCTTTTCTTCTCCGGAAGATATCCTGCAAGGCAGCGGAAGTTTAGGATTGGAGTTTTCCTTCTCCTAGATGGGCTACCTTCCTGGGTTGGCGAGCCCCATCTGCCCCTCACTTCCCTCTACAGCACATGCAGAAACCGCCTTCTTGACCATTGGACCCACTATTGGTCTCGTCCACTCAATCCGTCAGAGCTCATCTTCGCATGCAGGGGAATCCCCTAACCCACTGAGGGTTTGAGACCCATTGGCGACCCTCACTTGGTTTAGCCGGCCAGAGTTCAAGGATGTTATCAACCAAGAAAAAAACTTCAGGAAGGTGTAATGAAGTGTTGCTGAGGAATGTGGCCTGGAGAGACAGGGTGTGGCAGGGGAGGGGATTTTGTTGTCCCAAGGGCCACAGAGAGAGATCTGAAGGGCCGGGTATGGCCCCTGCCCCTTGAAGGTCCCCCATCTTGGCTTAGAGCTTCAGTCTTATCAAGATGGGAGCAGTCATTCCAGTGGTCCAAATGGAACAGCACATCTAACCAAATAATTCTGCAATTCACCCTAGTAGATATGATTAACAGATAGGTTGGCAGTATTTTAAAGATGTTAAACATCTGAGTTGCTATGTTGCTTTTAAAAGGAAATGTTTTTTTGAGCACTTGGGAATACAAGAGAGAGAGAGAAGGAGAGGCTGAGCTGCGGTTTGGACCCTTTGAATACTTTCCACAGCATTTTGCTCCAGATCCCAGGAATCTGTTTATTTTGAAGCGGTTTTCAAGTCACCAAGAATCCACCGCATATATGATTTGTGAGGGTTGCCTTTCCGTATATCTATATATCATGAAGACTATACACATATAAGCACATGCGTCGAAAAATACTCTTTTAAGAATATTTGCCCAGAGACTATTTTTGAAACCAACCTCATTCTGAGGAAGGAGGTTACACCCATTTGGTTTCTTTCAAGGCCAAATTCTTGGAATTAAAAAAAAGAGGGGGGAGGGAGGAAAAGGAGGGCTGAAAATAATTCCAAGTTCGCTTTTCTCCCTTTAAACCGGAGCTGGAAATCCAGCTCCTTTGCTTGCTACCGTTTTCGTCCTTAAGTTAGAAACAAAAACGCTTAACTTTGTGATCAAGGAAAAGATATATATATTTCCAAGGACGAGGCGAGGAGCCAGGATCCCACCCGCCCTCTCTTTGCCTCCGCCCGCCAAGCCCCAGCAACAGTTGAGCTCTGGAACCCGAACGATGGGTCTGCCGGAGCAGCAGCGCTAGGCAGGCGCGGCCGCGAGACACACAGCCGGGCGTCGGCGATGGGCACGGGCAGCAGCAGGCCGGGGAAAGGGCGCAGCTCGGTGAAGCCCTGGCGTGGCCCCGGCAGGGGCAGCGGGAGCATCAGCGCCCCCGCCAGGCAGGGCCGAGCAGAGGAGGAGCAGGGCGCGGAGCCCAGGTGCTACAGCCAAACGCCGGCGCGCGCCACCACCTCGCCGTCGGCGGGCGAGTCCGACTCGGACTCGGAGCTTCTGGACCGGGTGCTGGAGGAGTGCAACGACGAAGGGCTCGGGCAGCCGACGGGGCGGCGACGCCGCCGCCCCCTCCTCCTCGAGGCCGCCGGGGATGGCTGCTCCCGCCCGGCAGAGGGCAGCGGCGAGGAGGTAAGGCGGTGCTGCAGGTCGGGGGGGAGGCGAGACGGCGCGTCCAGGGTTTCCATTCACCCGTTTTTGGAAAAGCGAGCTGAGCATCTAGTAGACGGGCGCGCAACATTTCTCCGATGCAAATAGGGACGTCCTATTCCACAATAGTAATGATGATCGTTTTATGATGACGCGGTTGCCCCAAGCCACTCTGGGCGGCTTCCCAAGGTTTTTTTTCCTTGGCGGCGGGGGGGGGGGGGTCGATGGCTCCATATCCTCCAGCATTTCTGCCGTGGAAATAGGGACGTCCTAAAGAAAAGCCGGACATCCCAGGATCAAATCAGGAACCGGGTTGGCTTCTGTAAATCTGGGGTTGTCCTTGGAAAATAGGGACTTTTGGAAGGTCTGGGAGAGGGAGCAAGATCCTGGCATGTGCACTGTCTTAAGGGCGCTTCCAGGCAGCTGTGTTTTGGGGGGTGGGAGTCTGTCCCGCAGGCGCAAAGCCGAGACGCGCAATTCCGGTTGGTTTGGGCAGCTTGCGCAGCGCGCTTTCTGAAGCGGCCTGGCGTGCTGGAAAGCGGGATAACAAATGATTCGACGCCGCATGGAATCATAGAATTGTGAGGGAGCCCGACGGTGATCTAGTCCAAACCCCTGCAAGCACAAGAGCCAACGCCTGACTGCCGAGGGGTCTTCGACCCCCCCCCCCCAGTAAAATATTTGTGAGGGCCGGACGCCTTCAAATTTGATAGGCATTGCCATTCAAATAGTGTATGTGCTCTGCGTTGTGTGATCGATTATGCGGGAAGGGGCTTCCCCCCCTTCAATATTTTATTCAAGTTGGCCCCCTGCTGCAAAGCAGAAATCTCAGCTGAAGCACCTAATCTCTGCTTTGGAACCTCCCTGGAAGGCGAGTGCACCGCCTTCCAAGGGAGCCCAACAGGTCTGTCACAAAGCTATTCCCCATCATAATACCTTCCCCTCAAACAAACAAGGACAGATGCTGAAGAAACACCCAAATTGTTGAACTTTCCCGCAAACTCTGGGTTAAATGTTCAATAAGCAGGCTGCCTGGCTCTGGAGGTGATCTAGGAATTGCTTTCAGAAAGGTGTTTTGCATGGCTTGAACTCAGAGGATTGGCATATTTGTGGTCTACATGGGTCCTGTGTTCGAAAATATGACAGAGCTAAATGCATAAGAATGAGCTAGTTAGTAAGAACCGTCTCATCCCACATGAACTGACCCAGAGCCTGTCACCTGAGGTCCTTCTCCGTGTTCCCCTTCCATGGGACATCTGGAGGGTGGCAACAGTGCAGGCATGTTTATTATGTCATTTTTTAATGAAGTAGTTCATTTTGACCAGCTTTGATCCAAATTGAGAAAGAACCTAGCTGTTTTGTGTTGATAATGTGCACAAAGCCTCAGCCCTCCTTTAAATTCTAGTTTTATGAAAAAATACTCTGCTTGCTATAGTGTTAAGTGAAACAATGCCATCTTGTGGCTTACCTTCTTAACCATTCCTGGCTGTGCCCTAATTTGGTGTGTGACAAACACAGCCATTCTGTGGTTTCATATGAAAACTTTTTTAAAGCACGGTGCCACAGGGATCTCTCCTGCACAAGACCTGCTGAAACGAATAGAAATTATGCAACAGCATCAGTGTACTTAATAGGCTCTGTGCTATGACTGGCAATCTTTGGGGTGGTGGTGGGACTGTCACGGATGTAATGTTGGGTCTCTTCACTATGTTTAAGAGTGCATAGTGGCAGAAAAAAGGAGGACAGGTATTACAGGAAAATAATGACACACTGTTGAGATTGTGTTGTAATTGAAACTCCTTTCAGGTTTGGGTAATGTTACAGGGATCTTTCCCTGGCAGGGCTCTAAAATAGAATCCTGCAGCAGGATATCTGCTAAGTCAACAGACATAAGAGAGGGGTCTGGATGCTGCGGATGCACGCTTAATTCATTGTTCCTGAATGCAAAACAGGTGCCACACAGTTCCTCAGCTCTCACTTAATCACAGTTACGAGATCAGAGATAAACCACAGAAAATTACCACTCCCACCTTCCCTGTGCACAAAGGAGCACAAACTTCAGCGAATTTGATTTTTCATTGTGTGTCACCCATGATGTCCTGTTGATTTGTTCCCAGGTCTTTTCAGCAAGATCCACTCCAGGCCTAGAGAGCAACAACTTTGCCAACCAGTAAGTCACCTGAATTCAAATGACAATCCTTTCAGCCATGGGCATTGTTTTGTTTTTACAGAATACTTCTATCCCACCTCAGAACCGCAGGAAGTTATCAGAGCAGCTTACAAAAGATTCTGTCAATAATAATAAAAAAAGCATTCGAATCTGGCACCAGGAACAGAAATGGCCCTCTGGTGGCAGCAGGATTACTCAGGTGGCATTTCGGAGTGCTCATCCTTCGTCTCTCCTGGTTCTGCCCACTGAGGTCCTCTGGAGCAAGGGAGTGGGTCTGAGGAGCTGGAATTCGCTCCATCCCATGATGAAGGCAAGCCTTTCCTTGTTGGCGGTTGCCAGGCAACAGCTCCCACTGAGGACCTCTGAGGCAAGGGAGTCCTGCTGTGAGGAATTGGCTTTCAGCCCATGATGGAGGCGAGAGCATCATTATTCTCCTTTGCAGAAAAGGGCACCGTTTCCACCTATATAGTTTAAGGTTACCAGACGTCCCCGTTTCCTGGGGACAGTCCCCGGATTTACAAATCAGTCGCCTGATAAAGTCCTTTCATTCCTACTGAAGTTGAAAAGTGTCCCTGGATTCATTGAAAAAAATCTGGTAACCTTAATATAGTTCATCTCTTGCTTAACAGTCTGGGAACCAACACACACACACACACACCCTGCGTATTACAGGCACATAGGAAACGTTCAGCTTTTTGATGGCCACGAAGCCCGATTGGAATGCTGTTATTTTTATCCTTGTGTAAGTGTGGAGAAGTCCACTCACCCTGAGGCAAACTAGAGGAGACCAAACGTCATCAGAATTTGGTTGCCTTAATTTAGATGTTGAGTGGGTTCCCCTAAGTAGGGACAGCCGTTTCCTCAAGAAGCGTGTTGGAAAATTTGAAAATAATTATTCATAGCATCCAATGTCTTTGCCTTAAAAAAAAATCACTCTGCTGTGTGATGCAGCCTTCCACTTGCTTCTAGAACAGGATGGGGAAAGGTCTAGAATTGCCTGACAAGCATTCCCACTACAGTTCTGCACTTCTTGCTAAAGGAGGAAAGCACCTGTCTTTTATTTATAGGCTTAAAGGTAAAGGTAAAGGAACCCCTGACCATTAGGTCCAGTCGCAGACGACTCTGGGGTTACGGCGCTCATCTCGCTTTATTGGCTGAGGGAACCGGCGTACAGCTTCCGGGTCATGTGGCCAGCATGACTAAGCCGCTTCTGGCGAACCAGAGCAGCGCACGGAAACGCCGTTTACCTTCCTGCCAGAGCGGTACCTATTTATCTACTTGCACTTCGTGCTTTCGAACTGCTAGGTTGGCAGGAGCAGGGACCGAGCAACGGGAGCTCACCCCATCACGGGGATTCAAACCGTTAGCCCTAGTCTCTGGTTTAACCCACAGCGCCACCCACGTCCCATTATATTTTACATTATATTATATTATATTATATTATATTATATTATATTATTATATTATATTATATTAATTATATTTATAGGCTTACTGATGTTTAATTGAAGAGTTTCCTTTACTACAATTTTGTTTTAGCTTGATATTTATTATTCCAGAACAATTCTTTCCCTTCCCTTGTTAGTACTGCTGTCGTTACAATTTGCATGACTTCTCCCTCAGTTAAATATGCCCAGATCCCAGAGGATATATTTCCACCTCTTCCACACATACAGACACATTTCCCTTTCAAAAAGTTCCTGCTTTTGTTCCGAGCTCAATTTTATTTAGCATTTCAAGGTGGGGCGTAAATATTCTGGATAAATATTTATTTTTAAAAGTGTGTAGATAGGAGACAAAAGATATTCAAAGTAAAAAAAAATGAGCTCTGTGCAGAAATAACAGTTTGCTATTGGGGTGCAGAAAAATTGGGCCTCTCCTTCATTTAGTTTTGCATATTGACTATAGTTTGTTTGTTTGTATTTTTTATTATTATTATTATTTCTGCAGGCTGCCACTCAAGAAGCTTGAGAGGCAGGCCAAGATATCCTACGATTACTCCGAAGAGGAGCTGATGGCAACGATTGAGCAGGAATACTGTCGCTGAAGCCGGTTGTGGGCTGTGCCAACAGTGACGAGATAGTTGAAGCTGCAGCGGTGTTTCTCAGAAAGGTGTTTTCTCTGGGATGGGGTGGGGAGGGGTGGGGAAAGCAAGAGCAGAGAAGAAGGCATGCCACCATCCAAGAAGGCTGGTAGAATCCTCAAACAGGCTGGAGAAGCTTCTGCAGAGTTCTCTCTGCCATTATGTCAGGATGTGGCCTTATAGGGACTCTGTTGTGTCCATTTGGGAAAATACATCTCCAAAGCTGGCGCATCTACAGACGGAATGTCAAGTTTTCCTGATATCTTAAAATTATGACTTATGGAGGCACCATCACCTTCGTCCTCAAAGTCTTGGGAGACTTGCAGCAAGGGACTTGAATGCTTGTTTTCGACTGCACTTTTCCCTTTCTGTGTGCCAGCTTTGATCCTGTCAGACCCCAAGCACTAACCTGTACATTATTAAAGCATATATTCCCAGCAAATTGTACCAGCCTCTTGTAGTTGTAAGATTCTCCGTGGTCACTGGAATGAATCGGAAGGAAATTTATCAGCCATGCGTCCAAGCTAAATGCTAGCTCTTAACAATATTAAAGCAGGCACTGTTTCCTCTCCTTTTCTGTGAGCAGTTTAACTGACACCATAGGATGCTCTCTGCTTCAGATTTCTCCTGCCTCTGCCTTTTGCTGGTGCTGGACATAGTTCTTCTTGTAGGTTGTTCTTGTTCAAATTAAAAGAAAATTCTATTTGAGGTTCAACAGCAGAGGTGCTGGAGAAAATCTTACAGGATTAGGCAAGCTTAAAACACAAATGCTAATGAAACGTTGGTATAAAGCTTAAACAAAACGTGTATTCATAATGTAATCCAGTGCTCATACAGCAAATGCCAGAGGCTAAATTTTAACTTTGGGTGGTACCTGTACTTCCTGTTCTTTTATATATTTTTTTACAAATATGTACACATCATGCAGCTTCGATATTTTTCTACAATTAAGTGTTTGGTGTTTATGCATCATTCATGGAGACAGCTTAGGACTGCGAAACAATTCAAGAATTGGCCAGCGCTTTACAGGAAATTACTTGGAATAGATACAGATGTACCTAAAACCAAGGTCCATCGCACTATGGAAACCTTCTGGGATGCACATGCCATTCTTCTGTCAGTCTGTTTTTTGAAACAGGAAATTCCCTGCAAAAATCAGCTGAGGCTGATGGAACCACATACGCTGCTTTGAAAACATGCCCACTCAAGTCAAGTGGTTGGCGGATTTCCCCAGGAACCTTTTCCTTTAGAATGAAAGCCACTTGTTCCAGATAGCAGCCAGCTTCCCTTGCCAAAACATATACCCTTTCATCATCTTAATGGTCCCATTCATCTCTCAAAGGGCCCCCTTCCAGACACCCTTTCTATTGTGCATTCGTGAGGATTTGTGCACAAGATGCTATCGGCTGGTCATGCCCAATCCTTGTTTTCAATACTCTTTGCTGATGCAAAGGTTTGGTTGCATCAGGGTTGACTGCAATATTCTGCAGATGTTGTGCATGCGAAGCACTTTTGAGTGTTTCAAAGTGTGGTGTAAATGCAAAGCATTCGTATCGGCCAAGAAAAACGTTGCTTTCTTCTCTTTCCCTATTGTTTTGAGGTAAAAGGAGAGCTGTCAGAGGGGAGGAGAAACGGCAAAACCATCTATGCAAATATTCACTTTACTAGAAGAGGGATTACAATGCAGCCCTTGAAGGAATACAAACAATATTTGCATATACACACAAATACAGGAATCCCACAATAAAATGAACAGAAAGACAAAACAAGGTTTATAAAATATTAGGCACAATATTTTACTACACCAAACATAAATTCCCATAATCTTAAGTCAGGTAATAATCAGCATGGGAGAGGGGGGGGGAGAATTAGGAAACTTTTTGAAAAGCCTCGCAATTGCACAAGGGAAATCTTTTGACTTCTGGAAACTTTTGATGAACTTCAATGGAATTAAACCAGAGAAAAATGGACTATTGCGTCTGCATATTGTCAGAAAAGGGCAGAGACAGTGGTTCCAGAGTAATCAAGTTGTTGCATTTTGGTTTTATATACACTGCATTTCTACCATGTAGCTTGTCTTCTCACCAGCTCCTTTTTTTAACACTGAACGTGTATAATATTCATTTTTGTTCAATTAGGTGACCATAAAGTGAAGGGGAAAAAACCTATTCATACTCATCTTGCACCTTCTAACATGTTTCAGAGGAGCCACAGATCTGCTGGCTCGTGAAATAAAGTTTATTATTTATAGCAAATCAAACACACAAATACAGTAAGGTGCAGTATGGATAACATTCCATGCGTGCAGAACTAGTGACCCATCAAATGCAGTCCACTCACCTAGAACTTCCTGGAAACTTCCTATCCTTTCCATCTGCTTAATCACCTGCCAAGCCACAATGTACCGCTGTAAACTGCAATAGGCTTGGTAGCTCACACAATGCGGCAGCATTGGTTTAACATCAATTTCAAAGTCTGCCTGCTTCCAATATACTTGAATTGGGAATATAGGCCAGATTAGTTTAAATTGATGAGAATCTTTCAATGCGTAATTCCCATATCCATGACTACTTTTTTTTTTAAAAAAAGAATTGGGTGCTTCTGTTATGGTCAACTTCATGAACGTTAGTTGTCAATAATGGACAGGGAGGTAGATAAATGCTTAAAATGGGCAAACTGATTGCAGTGGCTCTGCAGGCTCCCAAAATATGATGTGATGCTGGTGGAGTTGCCAACCAGTCTCTTTTTTCTTGGCAGAGATCCTGGCCCTGACTTGCAGAAATTTAGCAGCTGAAGGTCTTCATAGCATGCGAATGAAGTGCTAGGGTGAGTTTCACTTTCTCGATTTCTGCAGATCAGGCTGCTGGCAAACCTATTCAACAGTACTGCCCAAGCCAGCCATGCCGATGTTGTTGGACTGCAACTCCTATAATCTCTGGCCATTGGTCATGCTGGTTGGGGCTGATGGGAGCAACAGCAGGAGGGCCACACATACCATATCCCTGCCCTAGGCATTGCGCTGAAAGTGAGGGTACATTGGTGCAGGTGTTTTAGAACTGCATTTCTCAAGCCACTTACTCCAGATGTGTTTCCAAGTAAACTCCCACCATCTGTGGAAATATTCTCCAATGGCTCCAACATAAATTGGCAAATGCACTGCAATCTTGGCTGAATAATAAAGAGATCAGGTTGAGATTCCAACTGCGAGAGGTCTACCTAGTTTCAGATACCAATGAAGTGTCAGATATTACTTATTCCACACACACATATATACATACACATCTGATCATGCTTTCTCGTCATCATTAGAACAATTATCTCAGCTTGATTAAATATTATGTATACAGAATCGAGCAAATCATGTGAAATGGCAGCTGAATGGTCCACCCTTAATTTTAGTTCTCTTCCATCAGCCGTCCTTTCATTTCACTCACTCATCCAATGTGCTGTGGAAAAGGAGACCACAACAACAGCAGTTAACATCTCCACAAAGCACTTTTGCTCCAAAGCTAAGAATATTTGGGTCACTTTTGTGAGAAACGAATTGTTGATCTGGAACAATCCGTTGCCAGTCAGCAATTTCCCATTATAAACCCAGCACATTTTGAAAGTGGCAAGACAGGAGCCGATTTGAGTACTGAACCCTGAATGTCCAATTGCTTCTGTTGCCTTGTTTATTCTCTTTACCTATGAACTACTCAAGTGAGAATTATTTAAGGTGCTGTCTGTTGTGGTTGTGTCATTGATCAGATTTCCAAATGTTTGCTTGGATGATTATAAAAATGGTTATGCAGGCACTGCATTTTCAGCCTTTACTTCAAATCATAAATCCTCCCCCGACTTTATTTAGATCAAAACAATAGCGCAATGTGGTTTGGGCATTTCCCTTAAGGGGTCCTTATACTCATTACTATTAACAGATCAAGGGCATAATCCAAAGCTAGGCACTTATTTTTCCCACTGAAGTCATAAGGGATATATTGATGGACATGCTTAACTTTCACTCTGAAGGGAATGTGATCCGAAAGTTCTTCCGTTCTGAAGACGGGATATACAGAAGTCCTTGCGGTTTGGCAGGACCGTCCCAATGGACAGACAAGCTGCCCCCAAGCCTTCCAAATGTTACCAGCACTCAAATTAAAAGGGCACTTCTCATGTTGCAATTAATAAATGTAGGGGGCACTTTAGCAAGTCACTCCTTTGCCACAAAATACACATGAACAAGGTCCACCAAACTTACCCAACTCAAGTCAGACCAGCAGACTGCAAGCAGGGAAGCAACAAGTAGGATTTTGTTCACACAAGCAAATCTGAATGCAGTGGTGAATATATGAAGCCCCGCCACTGTACAATCGTACACATACAGGAGCTTCAAGTAGCCAATGTACCACATCCACTAATCCATACGTGCTTACACACCAACAACTAACAGAGGGTGTGCATTATGGAATGGTGTCTAGGGTTAAAACCTTTTGAGCGTGCAGTTGACCATGTGGAATTACTGCACAGGTTAGGACTTCCCAGCAGGGACGCACATGGTCAGTGCTGCACCTAAATTGGTCCTGAGCTAGTTATAGGCATCAACAATACCTAGGCCTCAATATTCAGACATTTGGGAAAGAACGACACTGCTTTAAAATGTGGCACAGCAGGTAATCCTAAAGTGGATTCAGTTGCTAGACTGGAGTTCAGACACTCTGAAATTACAAATTAGTTTGGATTCCGTTCAGGAAAAAAATAAATTTCCAAGTGGTACCTCTGATGTTGCTTTTCACTCTTCTCACAGGGTGATTTTGCAAGATCAGACCACAGCTGAACTCGTAAGATTGGGGGGGAAAAACTAGTTTAAAATGCCGGGGGGGGGGGGAACCACCCTGTTTCATTTTTCATCAACCACTGTTAACTCAACAGAAAAGATATGTTTGCAAAGCCCATTGCCAACATTTCCACCAAAAATATTCTCCCTCCTCCCCCCAAGTGCTGGTGAATGCCCTAAAAGCATTGGAGAAAACAAAAGGATAACAGAAATAAAACGTTAACATTTAAATAGGGCTTAATACGAAGGGATGGGGAGGGAAAAGAGAGGGCAGAAGACTTTACAGGATTTTCCTCCTCCTCCACAATATAAATGCAACCACTCTTGGATACTTTAAAAAAACAAAACAAAACAAAAAAACAGTCAAAGCTGGGTTTTTGGAAACCACCCAAGTTCCTCTTGAAATGTTCATCTTCCAAAGCAGGCCTGCTAGCCAGAAGACAGCATAGGCAGAAGCATGCTCAAAGGAGTCTCACTCTTAGGCTTCTCCATGGTTGCAATTCTGTTCAGTTTGCCAACTTCTGTCTGCCAGCTGGGCACTTTCTTTGTCGTCATGTGGCGGCGAGCGTGTTTCGTCAGGTGATCGCTGCGCATGAAGCGGCGGTCACAGACCGGACAGGCAAACTTCTTCTCCCCTGTGTGAGTTCTGCGGTGGCGAGAGAGTTCATCGGAGCGGGCGAACTTCTTGTCACAACCTTCCCAGCTACAGGTGAAAGGTTTCTCTCCTGGAAAGGAGGAAGCATGGGCAGGTAGGTGGGGGAATCAAAGGGAACCCAAGAACAAGACAGATGGTTTTACCAAAGAGGTCATACATTGCCACACAAACCATCTCTAGTTTAGGACTGGCTTTTTTTTCTATAGCAGAGTATGTGAAGAAAGGACAAGACAAGAGGCAATTCATTCAACTGCAGGAACGGCTCTTGAATCTGCACTTACTAAGAAGTACTACAGAAGTCAGGGGGCTTCTCCTCTAAAGAATAAATAGAGCAAGAAGTTTTATAAAAAAAAAGAAGACCTCCTTTGTTCCCAACACATCCCGGGACATACCCTTTCGTCAAGGGATTACAGTCTTTACAATTAAAATGCTAAAGGTCAGTATTTTTCACCCCCAAGATAAAAGAATACGACACCCATGATGGCCCGTGTTATGAAATAACCCTTCTCTTTAAATTCATTTCCCTAAAGTTACACCAGGTCTTAAGTCTATTTACTGCACAGTGTTATCGTTCTTACTTAGAAGTTAAGCCTGTAGACCTGCTCAGACCTACTCAATGCAATTAGGGCTCTCTTCAAACTTTCTGTATCCTGAACCAAGAGGCTCCAGACCACAAGGAAGACTCTACATGCATACAGCTGTACACATGTAGTGGCTCTTTCCAGATCTTCTACTGAACATTCAGAGGGTGGGGTTCTTTTTGGAGGGGGGGGAGTTCCCCAGTCTCCACCTAGACATTTAGATGCAAGGAATTTAGAAGCTCTAAACCAGTGATGGGGGTGGGGAAAACCAGTGGCCTTCCATATGTTACTGGACTCCAACTCCCATCAGCCCCAAACAGCATGGTAAATATTCTGGCAAGATCATGGGAGCTGTAGTCCAGCAACATTGGAATAGCTGCAGTTTCCCCATTCCTCTTTTGGTCTCCCTAAAAACAGTCCCTCTCCACTAAACAAGAAATGTTCTACTATTGAGTCTTGTATTTACACACTCCTGAAATGTCCATATTCAGTCATGTTGCTAGACAACCACTAAAGACATGCGAGTGGGACTTTCAACACTGTGTGGCGTAGCTCTCTTCAGTGTCCCCTTCAGGCCATACTCATTTTACTCCTCCCATGCAGTTTTCAGTCTCTTCCCATAGTCAGCCAGCTGGGACCACTGAGCACATTTAGGGCTTTTAGTCTGGGCTTTTAGTCTACCCTCACTGCCACCCCAATAGGCTTTCTATTCTCTCTTTTTTGTACTCTGCAAACTTCGAAATCCACCAGGAGCCTGGTGCATTTTGCACTTGGCTATCAGCCACTTGTGACGATGCCAAGGCGCCAGGATGGTGCCTGATGTATCCACCATCTGGAGATCCTTGGATCTTGCCTGTTTTCACACAGTAGCGAAGGATCCTGTAGAATTCTATCTTATATTTTATCTGCACAATCAGAACAAATTTCAGGAACCAAAAGTTGTATTGAAAAATACGACTTTAGAGCTGCCTTGCCCCCAAATGGCAACTAGACATTCTGTTTTGGCGACTGTAACCCTGGTTTAAGGAGCCATTTGGTGCCTAGCTTATACATCCAACACTGCTCACAGCTGAATTATACCAATTCAGACCATGGGTCGATCTGGCTCAGTTTCGTCTAGGCCGTATGGCTGTTCTGCTCAAAGCTTTCAGGCATGGGTCTCCCCCAGCCCTACCTGAAGAAACAAGGATTAAACCAGGGACTTTCTGAATACAAGGCCACTGAGCTACAGCTCTTCCCTTCTTGGGTTTGTGTGGTGTCCTATTGGCTACGTAAGCAACAACATCCCCACCTGAGTATCTGCAACAGAGGGATTAGAAGAGGCAGATCACATCCACATCTCTTCTATACATACCAGTATGAGTACGCAGGTGGGCTTTGAGGTGAGAGCTTTTGAAGTACGTCTTCCTGCAGCCCGGGAAGTTGCAAACGTAATTTCTCCTCCGGGAAAAGTCAATTAGAGGTGTGCTGCTTTGGCCGGAGGCAATGAAAACCGGAGCAGGGGCCAGGGGCAACAACTTGGTATTCCCAACAGACATCACAGTTTGTTGGCAAGGAGGCGCCTGGGCAACAGCAGCCTGCGGAAGAACCAACATAACAGTCCCCTGAGGCATGGAAGGCCCCATCAGCACAGGCTGAGAAACTGGGGCTGTGTGGGGTAGGATGGGTTTGACCGTCGCTGCCATCTGAGCAGAGGGCTTTAGGAAGCCTGGGACCATACCTCTTTGTCCGTCTAAGGGGATCATTTGGCAGATCACTTGGGGGTTGGAGAGCGGGGAGGCTAGCAGCGAGGGGGACTTCTGCTGCGGGTCACTTTCGCAAGCGTTTGGGAAAGGGGTCTGATGTGAAGCAAGCCTCACAGGCTCACGTCCTTTGCTGGTGGCTCTGGAACAACCTGAGCCGTGCAAATACGGTTCGCGTCCTGGCGAAGTGCCGCAAGCTATGCTGTCCGCAATGTCGCAGTCTTGCAAGGCTGCGGGATGTCTCTTGTCTTGCGCCTCGTGCCCGTCTGCAGAAGCACTGGCGGCCGACGCAGCTTCCACTTTTGTTTGCACAGGAGGAAGGTGGGAGTAACCGGGACTGTCCCCGGTGTGACGGATCACGCTGGTTGCCCTTGCTCTGCAACACTGAGGAGCAACTTGCTCCGCTCTCGTTGGCGTCTGGCTGGACTCCCTCCCCAAATTCAGGGCAGCTGGCTTGGGTGCAGGAAGAGCACAACCCGGAGGAGTGATCAGGCAGGCAGACATGTTCGTCTTGATTGTCCTCGGTTTTGAGTAAGTGGCTTGGGACGAAAGCGGTGCAGTTGTGGAAGGCTCAACAAAATCTGGACTATAGGGTGGTGTCATACACTATATTTAAAGGGGGAGGAAAGAAGCAGAGATAGTATACATATACCAAAATACTACTTTAGGTATGATCATTCCTAGCTTTCATATTTATAACATTTAAGTGTAAGTCAGACACATTATTATTATTATTATTATTATTATTATTATTATTACTTTCCCCACACAAAAGTTCCCCCCACAAAATTTTTAGACAACCATAATGATATTCAAAGACCCTGGTTTGGTTTTTTCCCAGAGAGATCATTAAGGATTAATTTAGCTAGGAGGGGCTCATCTTACAGTCTTTACTGCTGTCGGCCTGGCTCTGCAAGGCATGGGGTGAAATCCACTCCAGCACTTTGATGAGTGGGGTCATCTAGTGCTGCTGACTTGCATGTAGTAAATAACCAAGTGTCTACTCAGAAGAAAGCTGCAATGAGTTCAGTGGGCCTTACTCCCAGGTTGGGGGGGGCTATAGTGTTTTATCTAGGCCGCCAGGGCTTCTCTGGATGACAAGATCTTTTTGCACCAGGTCAGTGAGGACCACTTGCTTTTTAGAATTCTCCCATATATACAAAACTCCCTGTGCGCCTTTTGGACTGCATCTGTAGGTTTCCTCCCTGTGTCAAATAAGTGTTGTTTACTTTTTAATACATGGAAGATGGATCTCCCGCGGGAGGTTCTGGACTCTCCTTCCCTGGAGGTCTCTAAGCAGAGGCTGGATAGCCATCAGTCATGGATGCTTTAGCTGAGTTTCCTACGCTGCAGGGGGTTGCACTAGAAATATGACCCTTGGGGTCCCTTCCAGCTCCATTGTTCTGTTTTTCGGCGTCAACGATATTTCACTATGTTCCTATCATTTTGTGTAATTGCATTTTGGATAAATTATGAAAATTATAAAACATGTTCTATTTGAAAACAAAACGTTTAAATGGCTATCTTTCTACCGGTAGGATGGGGGGAGGCAGGGGCATAGCCAGGATTTTTGTTAGGGGGGCAGGCTTTTGTTGGCGGAGCAGAATCTCAAATTTGTATTGACTGTTACTTATTTGGGGGGGCAACTCCCCCCCCCGGCTACATGCATGGGAGGGGCACAGTAAGGAAACAAGGTTGGAAGGGGGTCATGGTCTGAAAAAGGTTTGCAATCATATTCTGTTGGGAGCTGCCCAGAGTGGCTGGGGATACCCAGCCATATGGGCGGTGTGGTGTGTGTGTGTGTGTGTGTGTGTGTATATATATATATATATATATATATATATAAAATCATCATCATCATCTGGACGATCCCAGGATAGGGAAGACTGCATTATTCCAAAATAACCTCAAACACATCGCTAACTAAACTGAAGCAACTGTACTTGTGAGTGGAAATGTATGCTGTTCTCTTAGAGCTTATTGCATAATAAATGCCCTCAAGCCAAACCAAGAAATTACTGCTAACAGATTAAATGGGGGACATATTCATGTCTTTCCTCTTTAAAATATTCATATCGATTCCATGCAAATTCATTTTGTTTCAGGGTTTGTTTGTTTTTTTCCTTACCAGTGTGGATAAAAAGTTATAATCCTTAGGCAACTCAGACGTGGGTTCAGTGTGCATTGAGAAATCACCTGAATCTGAGACAGGTGTAAGAGGCCTTATCTTCAACAGGTCGCCTTTCTGTGATCTTTGACCCCAGGAGCTCATACAAACAAGTGCCTCTACTGCTTCTATGTCGTTCTGTTCCAAGGTGCTACAAGTAGACCTTTCACTGTCGTGACGCTGCCGTTCACGTATGGATTCATAGATGTCCACAATGTCAACCTAGAGATAAGTGAGCCATTGTTTGTAAGTCACACGGAAAACAAGCATATGCACTATTGTCTGCTTTAAAAAAGGCATCATACATGCCAGAGTCCCAATCCAGTTTCTAAGTCGGCACACATGAGCAGAAGACAGGCTATAGCTTAATACTTAGTACAGTACATTCCCTGCATCCAGAGCTCCACGTTCTATCTATCACCTGCTAAAATGATAACAGGTAGCAATGACTGGCAGCCAAGGGAGTGCTGCTGCCAGTCAGTGAAAGCAGTACTAGGCTGGCCTGACCAATGAGCTGACTCAGCATGCGTGCATATCAATTGCTGGGTAATTCACAGGTGCATTCAGTTGCTTTCCTGCACTGCACTGCTTTGAATGTGATGCGTATTCAAATACATATCCTGTTCACCTTCTGGAACAATCAAGTTGCACAATAATACCTTTTTTATGTGCAACTCAAATTGGATCAGGCCCCCAGAGATTAAAAAAGCAAAATCTGGCTGCCAACTTTGCTCTTCCACAGGAAAGTTATTCCTTTCTTCAGTTAGCACAGACTGCACCACCATGGCAACAACAGAGAGAGAGCGGGGTGGGTGTGCACACTCATGTGTTGGGAAAGGTCCAAGAAGATGTAACATCTGCAGCATTGCTTCAACTTTCTAAAGTGACTTCCCAGAATGACACAGTATTTAATGTTAATATTCTAAAACTGCAGGGAAGATGAGACATGGCGGGGGATCTCCAGTTTTGTTCAGTGATGGTTTCTTAGAAAGAGTAATAAATACAGGCAACACAACAGGCCGCTGAAATAAATTCCCAGCATGGTTGACTCATGTATCGGTCAAAGCCATCATATTTTGTTGGGTCATGAGCATCTCCCTATAGCAAATAAGTGCAATGCAGATACCTTTCACCAATCTAGAACCCCACACGTGCACAGGATTCTACTCCCTATTCAGTTCACACTCAAAACTGGCAATTAGAAGCCCAAAATAAAAAGGAAAGTGGAATCAGCCTGCTGGACAGTAAGCCATGTAGTGGCTGCAGACAATTATTATGCTCCCTTAGATGCCGCAGAGCTGCCATGTGCATATATTTACTACTACTACTACTAATAATAATAATAATGAATGAATGAACCCAACAGAAAGCACCTATTCACATGGTAAAGCTAATATGAAATGTGAAGCTAACCTAACAGATTGGTATCACAAGTTCACAAGAAACTCAAATGAACTCAAAGAATCTGGAGATAAAGAGGAGTAAGACGGGCAATCTTGAAACTGATACATTTAATGAGGTAAAAGATTTCAGAATATGAGGAGAAATGCTTAAAAACCAGCAGGAATTCTCCATTTACTTGCAACTGATGAACATTATTTTCCTTGGGTGCTAAAATGATATCTGTGTCTAATTAATAAGATTTAAAAGAACTTGGGGGAGGGGGACAGCCTATTCAAAGGCTAGACAATCCAAGATGAGAAACGTTTAAGAAGAAGAATGTTAGGTTCGCTTGCAGTTCGTGACAATTATTAATCCACAATCGCTTGATAAGCTTCGGAAGGAAGGAGGAAATAAGTTCAACGCGCCTTGGTCTGCTTTCCAAGCAGGCACGCGCGGCTCCATAACTTAGCCTGGCGGCTTGTCCTTAAATCACCTCCTTTCACCCAGACACTGCAGAGGCAAGCTGGATGAGCTGGCACACAGCACAACAGAAGCAGGCTGCAAAAGCAGAGCCAGAGCCATCACAAAGACGGCAGGAAATACCCCACCAATTCAATGTACCAAGGAACACTACCAAACGGCAGGTCCAATTGCCCAACCGACCTCCCCCCCTTCCTCGCACTGTCTTTGCTTTAATAACAGTATTTTTAAAAAACTGGGGGGGGGGGGAGGAAACGGCATGCAGATCAGCAAAATGACGATGTCCATGTGGATTGGGTGGAAGGCAGCGAAGCGCCACCTTCCAAAAGGGAGGGAATGGGGCGGAAGGCTTTCTTTCCCCCCTCATGGGATCCAGAGCAACCACCCACTCCAAATATAGCTCAGGGGTGGGGGGAGGAGTGGGGCGACGTCATGCATCAAAATAGCCATGTGAGCAAGTGGGTGGTGGTCTCTGGTTGAGCCACTGCTGGGAAGCCCTGTGAGGCGGGGTAGCTCTGCCCACAAGGTCCAAAAGTAAAGGCTGCCTGCGGGGGTGGGGTGGGGGGCTAGGACTCTCTCTCTCTCTCTCTTTTTGCAATGACACAAGTTAACAAAGAAAGAAACCCTCCTCAAAGGTTGAGGCTCTCACCTCCCCATAGCCGCGAGACCACTCCTCCCTGCATTTACTGTAATCTCTGTAATACTCATGCAACAACCGGGCAACTGCGGGATCACTGGGATTACTCATGCTGATGCACATTATTCGATGTGCGTCAGTGTAAGACATCACCACCACCACCCTAGATCCAGCAAAGCAGCAGTTTCGTGCAGGCTGGACTGACTGGCAAGTCTGCCTGCTCCATGGAAACTAAGCAGAACTTCCTTCCCAATAAACCTGGGGCAGGATCGGGGGTGGCGCAAGAAGCACAAACGTCCAGGGCATCCCACACGCTTATGCTTGCATAGGTCCCAGTCACCAGAAGCGAGGGGGGGGGGGAGGAAAGAGCAGCATTAACCTATTATGCACCATCATAAGCCTTCACCAAGTCCAGGTAAGTTAGCAAGGACCTGGCCCGGAGGAAAGGCTAGCGTTAATGGGCTTTGTTGGCACGACCCCTCCCGGATTTGCAGTGAACCGCCCGGGGATCTACGGGCGAAAAGCGGCATATAAGTTAAGTCCATAGAAATAAAATAAAAATAAGAGAGGAAGGCTGCCCCCCCCCCAGCGCCACGCGCATCTCTCGCTCCCATCACCTTGGCGTCTTGGCAACCCATGGATTGCGGTGACGAGATGAAATAAAGCAATAAATAAGAAAGGCTATTTCTTATTTATGTGCCTCCCCCTCACACCCCGCATGCACCTCAAGTCGTTTGCACCTTTTGGAAAGCGAGGAGGATTAGAAGCGGGGAGTAAAATCGAGGCAGGCTGGGTCTTTTTGCCCTGCATCCGCGCCCCCACCCGCGCGTCGCCCCGTGCAGCAAGTGGTACTCACCGCGGGGGCATCTCCCATCGCCTCGACGCAGGGCGAGGTATGCATGGTGGAAGCTCCCGCAGGCAGCAGCGATGTGACAAAGCCAGCAAGAGCTGCAGCCAGAACCGCCTCCTCCTCCTCCTCCTCCTCCGCCTGCTTGCTTGCTTGCTTGCCTGCCTCCCACCTACCTCCTCCCGCCCTCCCTCCTCCGAGGGAGGCGAGCAGCCAAAACACAGAGGGAAACACACCAAAACACTCCATACAGCAAAGCAGCTGGGAGGCGGGCGAAGGTAGGAGGAGAGAACGAAAGGGGAAGAGGGAGGAGGGAGAGGCTGCTCGCCAATCGCAGCACGAGCTTCCTCCGGGCTGGCCAATGGGCTCCGCCGGGCGGCGTGATTGCCTCGTGCAGCTATGCTGATAGCAGGAAAGGCCCCTCGTGGGCACGTTCCGCGGCGGCGAGCCGAGTAGCCGAACCACCTTCTGGAAACTAGGGGAAAGGTCGGCGCGAGGAGAAGGAGGGAGGGAGGGAGGAGCCTGGCTGGGCCAGAGGAAGGGCGGGGCCGGCTGGCTGTCAGTAAGCGGGGAGGCGGCAAGCCAGCCAGGGAATGCCCGGACGTGAGAGCGGGAAGGGGCGGGGGCGGGGACGAGAGCGAGGGGGCGTGTTGCGAGGCAGGGCGCGAGCGCGGCAAAGAGACCGGGCTGAGAGCGTCGACGACGTCGCCGCCCCCACCCCAGCAACAGCGCCGCGCGCTTCTGGCAGCCCCGCCCGCGGCTCGAGATCGTGCAGCCGAGCGTGACGCGGTGTCCTTTCTCGCCACACACGCTATTATTGCCAGATGTTGCGTTTCGGCCACGGAGAGTGGCCGTTAAAGGGCGTGGCTCCTCTGCGGAACCATCCTGCCCTGAGGAAAAGCCTCGTTACACCTTCTTTTCGAATAGTCCCCGTCTTTTCCGTTTTTATTGGTTAATCTTTTTTTTAAAAAAAGAAAATAACCCACACAAAAAAACACATACATATTCGACAAAACTTATACAGTATATATATATATATATATATATATATATATATATACACTGTACTGCTTGCGTGCATAAAAATAAAACATTAGAATAAAAGACCAATTTGAAACATTTCTCCCCGCCCCCCTTAATTCAAGTTATAAAACAAGCTAAAAGCGAATGAGATGCCAACTTCTGCATGTCTGGAGTATTCTTATTTATTAAATTTCTATACTGTACCGCCCTGCAGGGCAGGTTATAATACAAAAACAAAACAAAAAATAACAGAATTATAGAATTGGAAGGGGTCCTAAGGGTCAACTATAATGCAGGGATCTCAACTAAAAGCATCCATGACAGATGGCCATTGTAATGAACAGACAAAATACCTTCCCCCCCCCTCAGTTTAAAAGGCCACAGATTTTAGAGGGATAGGCTTGCATGAATGAAATGTTTTTAGCAGGTGCCGAAAAGAGAGTGGGAGCAGCCAGTAGTACACAACTGACGGAGCTGAAAAGCACTTTCCCAGTGCTGTTTTCTGGACTTGGTCCTGCAAGTAGGGCCAGGACCACTGTAATACAAAGCTCCCAATTCCCCAATTCCAGGATTATATCACACTCCTGTGACTACATGCTATGCACGGTTGGCAGAAATGGGAGCTGATTTGAAGGGAATTGCACCTGCTTGACTTTTCTGCAGTAACCAGAGCCTAGCTAAAAGGATATAAGTGGGTCAGTATGATTGCGGATGGAATAGATCCTAGTTCTGTGTGTGGAGCGCTGTTGCAGAGATCTGTGGTCCCCCTGCCTTTCTAATGCTACGTGTATTAATTTGGGTTGCTTACACAGCCTCCAAGTGTCCCTGTTTTCCAGAGACAGACCCAGATTTGCAGAAGCCACCCTGGTTTCTCTTTTGACCCTGGAATGTCCCACTTTTCCTTACAACGTCCCTATTTTCTTCAGATAAATGTTGGAGGGTACGAACTTACCGTGCTTAAAAGTCACAAGGATCACAGTACTATCAGGCAAAAACACAACAAAGGCAGGTACGGCAGATAAAATAGGATGGGGATCCCATCCTCTGAGTATGCTTGAGAAGGGAGGTTCAGGTGCAGTTAGGTAATGTTAAACTCTGGACTTGGTGATTTTTCAGGACTCCTCTCTAGATGGTAAGGTGTGTTACCTGCATTGGCAGGGGTTGGCCTAAGTCACTTTCAACTCTAGGGGAGGAATTCAATGTCATACTCTTCTGATCATGCTTTTCTGCTTGCCTGGTGCAACAATTCCCCCCTCTCCCTCCCTGTTCTTGGGGTTCTCCTGGCACACCCCCCCCCAAGCAGATATGGAGGAGAGCTCCATTGTGCTATCAGGAGCCCTTGCACTGGCTTCCACTAGCATGCTGGGTAACTGAATCAGGGCCACAGATTTTCCTTCAAAAGGTGGTTAGCCAGTCCAGCTGCATTTAGAAAAAGCTCAGTTCAATTCTGAAGAAGAAGAAGAAGAAGAAGAAGAAGAAGAAGAAGAAGAAGAGCAGCTTTCAAGATACAGAGGGACACAATGCAGTATACACAAACAGATCTGCAAAGCAACAAAGGCCCCCAATGGCTGTTGCTATTTTTCCTGGGGAAGAAGCAGTTCTGCAAAGGAGCAATTGCAAAGTCATGAAGTGCAAGGGGGGAGGGGTGCAGCTTTCCCCCTGCCTGTCATTTTTTGTTCCAAATCACTCCTCCTGCCCCTCAGCCACTTCTCCCCACCATTGCTCCAAGCGAAAGGGGGTCAGAGGCCAAGGCAAGTCCTGAAAACGCCAGTAATGCCAGCCTGGCAGCCCGAAACTAGGGGAGAGGTCAAAACACAGAGAGGAACAACTTGCCTCCGCAGCAGTTCTCAAATAGAAGTGAACCTGGGAATGGGGCGACAGCTGTCTCTTTTACAAATGAGAAGGATTCTTGAATGGTTGCTGGCAAGCTGTGGAAGTGAAAAAGAAAACCCCCACCAGGCTTGGCATTTGGGAGCTGGCAGTGACATGAGCCACGTTCCACACAGCGTTGTCCTGAAACCAGGGGTCAAATCTGTGTCAGGGTGCCTTGTACTACATTCGAGCACCTAATCCAAACATAGCAGGAACTCTTCCCTGGGGACCTGGGCGGTGCGGAGGGAGAGAGCGGGGGGGAGAGCACCGATTCAGCACTACCTGAGAGTAAGAGAACAGCCTGGCCCTTCACTTCCCCAAAAAACACTATTTCTTTTAAAGAGAGAGAGAGAGAGAGAGAGAGAAAGAGATTGAGGACATGTTTTTAAAGTATGACAGGCAGAGGCTATTCTAGGTTTTAACAGAGGAAGAGAAGCACGTCTTATTTCTAAAGCAGCATACTGTGAGATACAATGACAGTGATACCTTTTCTGTGAACTGCCCTGAGACCTCCAGGTATAGGGCGGTATATAAATTCAATCAATCAATCAATCAATCAATCAGCGACAGACCCATTTCATTGTATTCATTGCACATTTGGAAGATAGTGGTGGGGAACCTCAGGTCTGTGTGAGGTAAGAATTTACTTCTGTACCACCTTGTTCTTACCCAGGTGAGGGAGCACCTTTAAATAAAACATGGAACCAAATAATAATAACAATCTCTGTGTTCTGTAGGAACCTGGTTTATTGCAATAGGACAGCCTTGCCAACCAGCTGCTCAACTGCTACTTAGAAGGGCTGCCCCAAGATACATCAGAACAAAGCTTACCGTATATAGGCTGCTAACACCACAATGCATAAAGAGTCATGAAAACATCTCTAAACACCCTTCTACATACATTAAGAAAGGTTACAGGTCATGGGATGTAAAATAGGCATGGCTTCATACTGATATCAACTTCCTTGGGGTGTCCCAAAACAATTGGTCTCAAATGTTGCACCTCTATCACCATTCCTCTGGCTACCAGGCCTTCGTGGTGCTGTTGACATTCCTTTCTTTATCTCACTTTCGCTTGCCTCTCCTATCTATTTCCCAGGAGACTTCAAGGATAGGTTTGGATTTTCACTCTGATGTTAACTAGAACAACATCCTTAAATGACCATTTGTGCCACTTTCAGGGTTAGATAGGAAAGGAATGCAGCAGTGGAGTCATGATAGGCAGGCACACAAACAAAATCAAGGCTAGAAAGGTTCAATACACTTAATGTTGGAACATTTTTAAAATTAATAAAATCTACACCCTGGACCTCCAACTCTTACATCATGTGGACCTCATTAGTTCTGGCAGGGCAAAGGAAAACCCTTCAACTGATGTTATGGAGATGTCAGGTGACTAACAGGTACGCAGCTGTTCCTAGGGTAAAGGTAAAGGGACCCCTGATAATTAGGTCCAGATGTGGCCGACTCTGGGGTTGCGGCGCTCATCTCGCTTTACTGGCCGAGGGAGCCGGCATACAGATTCTGGATCATGTGGCCAGCATGACTAAGCCACTTCTGGTGAATCAGAGCAGCACACAGATACACCGTTTACCTCCCCGCCGGAGCGGTACCTATTTATCTACTTGCACTTTGACGTGCTTTCGAACTGCTAGGTTGGCAGGAGCAGGGACCGAACAACGGGAGCTCACCCCGTTGCGGGGATTCAAACCACCGACCTTCTGATCGGCAAGTCCTAGGCTCTGTGGTTTAACCCACAGCGCCACCCATGTGCCGCAGCCATTCCTACTTAATCCAAATGGTCCACAGAGGTTGAGGGAACAACCAGCCTCCCTGCTGAAAACATTGCCCAAACCCAAAAACATAGTGATCCCCCACCTTCTTAGAGCTGTTTCCTCCACCTGCCCCCCAAAAGCTAGATTTTTGTTTTATACATAAATGTGTGAGATGCATTCTGCTCTTTATCATTCTGGAAAGCTTATTCAGTATTTGGGGCTAAGCCAGCTATCACATTCTGTGTTATGGAAACACACACATTTTTATTAAAAAAAACAAAAAACACTTTATAGGGCCTAGTCTAGTGTGATGTAGAGAACCACAGTTGAATCAGGATTTGAATCTGGGTCTCCCCCAGTGCCAATAATTCAACATTCTGACACAAAATTTGCCCCAAATTTCTCATAGCTGATGCCCATTCCCTCCCCTCAAAAAATAAGAATGATCTGTCCTTAGTAAAATAATACTGATGATTATCATGAAGCATTATCTGTTCTCCAAAGATTCCTATCCTTGCATTTCTGTGTAATGAGTCATTGCTCTGGGGCTTGGAGTCCTCTTGCAACAGGGCAGGCTGCTTCCTTTGCAAGGATGGTGAATTCTGCTTTATCATGGGCAATGACTGGATTATCCAAGAAGCCTTGTGATTATTATTTTAAAATAACAAAAACAAAGTAGCAAGGGTAGAGTTGGCTGATAAAATGCAGATCAGTTAACAATGGTTCAGGAAAAGCTTTGGCGAAGAATTGGGCTTTGAAGAAAGGAAAGAACAAATAGACTCCCTCCTGTGTGGTATTAGAGGAGA